ACATGATGACCACATTGCAGTCCATAACCACGACTTACTTAAGATGTGTTCTACAACTATAATGTAAATTGTTTTTCTTGTTGTCAGTTCTAAAAACAAATCAAAATCATTTGGTCTAAAAATAGGTTGTTTCTTAAAATAGAAATACAAAAACATGTTCTTGAATCTGGTTTTAAAAATATGTTTCATCTGATTAATTAACATCATATTCCATAAATCATATATTTTTATACTAGAAAATTTTTGTTTTAAAACATGTATTATTTTCTGAAACAAAATAATATTATTTTGTTGGTTCCAAAAACATGTATTATTTTCTGAAACAAAACCGACTTATTTTTCCCTTTGAAAATAAAAATATATTTTTACTTTTTATTACTGTGGCAATTCCAACAGCAGATGAAAACTGAAACATTCATGTTGTAAAAATCCCCTTAATGAACAAGACCAAATGATTTTGTATTGATTTCTCTAATTGTTTTCTCCTTGGAGAATTTCATTTTGAAGGAAAAGAAGAGGGTCAGACCCTGTATGAGAACTACAAAAGTCCAATATCTGGAACAATAGGCATATTTGTTTTTTAAATATTCAGTTAGATATAACGGTTAAAAATATGATAGAGGAGGTCTTAGGTTGTATTTGACATTCTTTATTTTAAGAATTTATCTCCTTTTTATAGTTAAAAACTCAGTGTTTATTGAGTCATTTTAACAGCAAAAAAGAGATAAATCCTTAAAATAAGGAATATCAAATGAAGTCCATTTTAAAAAGAGAACGAAAAGTCTTAGTCTTTAGCATTGGAGGCTTAATTCATTTTTTTACCCATCGTTGACCCAACCGATCAGACTAATCAACTAACTAATTAATCACCCCAGCATAGGTCCGTCATACCCCAGTCTTGGTAGTAATAAAAAACCATTGATTTTGGTCAGAAACCTAAACCTGAACAATTAAATTAGTAAACCATTCAAGTCATTTATGGGTCACAGTCGCAGTTCAAATAGATTGCACTAAGATTAAATATAGCAATTATAATTTACAAAGTAATAATAATAATAATAATAATAATAATAATAATAGAGAGAATTGTTTAATGGTAGCAGAGGTAAGTCCTCTCCACCCTCTTTTTTGTGTTTTTTTTTTTTTTGTTTCTTTTCTTCTTTGACTGGTATCAAGGTTCAAACCGTATTGGTGGGTTTGAGAGGGTAAGCAAACCTAAGACATACCCCATTATTTTTATATATTTAAAAAAAACTACAAAAAACAGTTGCATTAGATACATCCCTACCCGTGTACCAATTCAGCCTCTAATTTTAAAAAAACTATAAAAAAGAGTTGCATTAGTTTTAAGGGTTGAACTTAAAACTATCTAAATGTCACTCATTGCTAAGGCTGCAACTTGCGGGGGCCCAAGATCAACTCAGCCTCTAATTTTCAATCTTAGGTCTCGGCTCAAAAGTTTGGGTTTTGCAATTTTTTGGGTTAGGCACAGGCCTAGTCCTTAGGTAGCTCGAATCTAACCTTTTTTTTTTTGTTTAGAATCTTCTTGACCTTATGATTATATACATTTATATATATGCAATATTTGCATATATACATGCATATATGCATATTTTTTTAATAAATCATACGTAAATGCATGTATGTATACATATAATAATGTATATCAATTTTTAGTGTAGGTTGATTGAGCAATCTGAATCTAACTTGAGTGTATCAAATTTTAGTATGAGTTAAGCTCGGGTTGAATAGTTTGGGCTTGGGCTTTAGACCCAATTCCTAGGGTTGCACTTGAATTGAGCTAAAACCTCACTAGCCCACCTGATTTGTACCTCTATTCATTGCTAATAGCATGTTTTGAAATCGGACTGAATTGGGCAGTTAGACCAATTGACTAGGGAACCGGTCATGGCTCTGGATCCAATTTTGGACCCAAAAACCATCGAACCTAGGTTTAGACCAGACAGTCAGACCTTTTGACTTAGGAACAGTTGGTCAAAGCAGATCTGTTTCCAGACCCGGTTTTCAAAACCATGACTAATAGTCCAACCCATCCAACCCTAAATAAAGAAAACATGTCAAACTTCGAGTCGGGTTTTGAAACATTGTTCGGAACAACTATTCTGCCCAATCTTGTTCTGGGCACAATATCAAAACCTAAATCAATCCAATTACAGTTGGGGCAATGGGTTGGTTCAGTTTTGCTTATTCCGGGTCAACCCGACCCATTGACTGGTATATAATTGGCCAAGCATCCTCCGGACCAGGTAGAGGATTCAATCATTCGAATATATCCAAGCCAGCAGGTGTTGCACCAACAGGTAACAAACTTTGCACAGGTGCGAGAAATGCTGGGTAAGGCCAAGAAAAATAAGTTAAACGAGTCGAACTGTAGAAGTGAAGCTGTCAGTGGATTCCAAAAATCCGATACCCTATTGAACTCCGAATCCAGTTATCTTGGATTTAGAATTAATTCAAGTATATAGTATCACATTCGATTAAAAAAATTATCTTTTTAAAGTAATTATTTTAAATACAAATGCAGATTAAACCCAAGTATGATCCAAAGGTTTATAACCGGATCCAAATCTCATCCAATTAAAGAAGAGTCCTGGAGTGCCGAAAAAAAAGGAAAAAAAAAAGACGGAAATGTGGGAAGTCAACACCCTTGTATTTTTGGTAAAAGTCAAAGTCAACGTTCAACTTCATTGTTTGGGGCTTTGCTGATTGTCAACAATTCAACATCAACATCTCTCACTTGAGTTAAGGTATGGGTTTAAAATTGGGAGAATGACGGTTCAGCCCAGAGTCCAAATTTGTAGGGTCAAAACAAGGTTCAAAGTATCAATATGTATCGACCTATATTGGCCGATACATATCATTTTGGGACCCTCTAATATGCCCCTACAGTGGGTGTATCGGGGTCTGACCAGTTTAGGGGGTGGAGGAACCCTAAACCAGCCCCCTGAATCAGTTGCAAAAAAAAAAAAAAAAAGACAAAATATAGTACCGATTTGCCCGATATGCCCCTACCGGTGTATCAGGCGTATCGATATTTTAAACCTTTGGTCAAAGTACATTTAGTAGGTGTCAACTCAGAATTGATGCCAATTCATGGGCGGGTACAGGTGCATAGAGTGTGGATTTTTGACCTTTCAAATGTTTATAACTCTGTAGGAAATCAAAAATCTACATTGGACTTGTTCGTACTTCTCCGTTTAAACCATACAGAAGTAGATTGCGTCTTTTTGAAACAGTCTATCTTTCTTCCTCAAACAACAAATAAAATTGATCCAAACAAGAGTAGTTGCTTGCAATTTAGTAGAGACAAGAATGACATTTTTATTTTATTCTTTTTATTAATATATTAAGGTTAAAATTATTCATTTAAGCCCTGTTTGATTCACGGGAATAGAGATCTGAAACCAGAATCCACAAATTAGCTATTCTAATTCTAACTATTTAATCGGAATCGGAATGAACTAGATTGCTTGCAAACTATGGGTGTTTTAATAGAGTTCGGATTTCCTGCACCTGGTTTTGTGTGTGCAAGGGTGCACTCCCAATTTGGGACACGTTAGAATTTGGATAGTACTCTTAACTCAAATATGCGAGCCATTTAAATGGCCAGTTTGCCTCTATTAGTTTTTTTAATAATACTTAGAAAATAAAAGAAATGGTGAAAACTTTCCGCAACCCCATGACTATTCCATGACAAACTTTAATATTGTCAGTAAAACCCTAATCCCTTTTTCTTCGTTTAGCAGAGAATGAAGGAAAAATCAGAACTCCAAATAGAGAGATATACACTCTACTCTACATATCTCATGAAACATGGGATGAAGAAAATAGAAAAGTTTATTGTCAATGGGCACAAATCTATTATTCCATGAATGCTGATCTCCACATTGCTATGGAAAACTATCAAGAGATTAGTGAAGTATATGAAATGTTGACTGATGAGTATTGAAAAACGAAAACAAAGAAAACTGTTGCAAACCAAACCAACTCTAACCTGGTGCCGATGCATTAATAAACGATTGCAGACCAAATAAGGGTAGAAGTCATTTGCAAGAAATTGTTTCAAGTGCCCATCGTTTCTTATTCACTTGAGTACTCTGCTTTTTTCAAAACACTTGCAACCCATTATGAACTGGATTCGGTAATGACTCCCTTTTTAAGTCAAATTTCTAGTGATGGTATTGAGAAAAAGAATCATGAACAGAAAGACAATGGAGACTTGACAAATTAGGAAGCATGTTACAGAGTAATTAACGTCTACTAATTTTGCTTATGAACTTATCTCAACTTGAAGATTTCTGAATCTTTACCTCAATCAATTGGATAGAGTATACACTATAAAGTCATCAGATTTGCAAATTTGTTGCTTCAGTTCTCATTTGCAGAATAAGAAACACTGAACATTGACTTAGAGAAAGCAAGTTTACCATGGAGGAGCTATGCTAGCACTTCAGTATAAACAATTCAACACCAGAATTTTTTTCCCCTGCAATCGTTCGTTAATGGCATCTATTCCATGGAAAGGTTAGGCCTGAACAGTTTTCTCTATATTTTTTACTGTCTGTCAAGCTGGGCGGTCAAAGTATTTATTTTTATTCTTTCTTTTAAATTGTTAATTTAAAAAAAAAAAATATTAAAAAAATGCAAATGATCCCGTTAAATGTATCACACATGTGACATGGGATACCATGCGAAATCTGACGTATTTACCACAGCACATAGATAACCAAGTGCAGGAAATCCGGACTCGTTTTAATAAAACGTAAATTGTACGACAGGTTTTAGCTTATGGACCTTATCTCTGGAAAATAACAGAGACTAGATCCAGATGGAAGTCAGTCAAAATCCGGCCAACCATGTACTCCCACACGCGGCGACTTCAGTCAAGAAACAATTAAGAACGGTCAGCCTCTCTGATTCAGATTTCTATATATAGAATGACAAAAGGACTCACTAGCAACAGGACTGACCAAGGGATTAACGCTCCCTTTCTTTCCATCGTTTTCCTTTGGTCTCTCTGCAAATTCAAGCATGACAAACGTTAATCCTCCTCAAATCATTATTCTTTCTCTTGGCTTCATTGCCATCTTCTCCTTCCACTCTTCTCTCGCCTCTTCAACTCCCTGGGTTTACCTCTCCAAAGGCTCTTCTATGTCAGTCGAAAATTATGCTTCCGACGTTCTTACATCCCCTGACAAAACCTTCACTTGTGGGTTTTACCAGGTGGGCACAAACGCCTTCAGTTTCTCCATTTGGTTCACCAATTCTGCAGACAAGGCCGTCGTTTGGATGGCTAATCGAGACCGACCCGTCAATGGACGCCACTCGAGAGTTCTGCTGCGTAGAGACGGCACCCTGGTCCTCACTGATGCCGATGGCTCAATCGTCTGGTCCACCAACACCACATTCGTTGGGGACAAAGCCCAGCTCCTGAACACCGGCAATCTTGTGCTGAAGGACAGTTCCGGTAACATAACCTGGCAAAGCTTTGATTCTCCTACTGATACGCTTCTCCCTTTACAACCTCTCAACAAGAAAACGAGGCTGATATCTTCCAAGGGTAATGGTGCATATTCCTCGGGTTATTATAATTTCTATTTCGATAACGACAACATCTTGAAGTTGATGTATGATGGACCTGAGATTTCCAGTTTGTACTGGCCAAATCCGGAGCTGAGTATTTATGGAAACAGTAGAACCAACTACAACAGCACCAGATTTGCAGTGCTCGATGAAGTAGGCAAGTTTTTAGGGAGCGACACTATGGAATTTTCTGCTACTGATTTGGGTTCTGGGATTAAAAGGAGATTAACAATGGATTACGATGGCAACCTTAGGCTTTACAGCTTAAACGAGTCGAACGGATCCTGGAAAATATCATGGGAAGCCATGCAGCAACAGTGCAACGTGAGTAGGCTGTGTGGAAGAAACGGCATCTGTGTCTACACGCCAATGCCCAGGTGCTCATGCCCACCTGGTTACGAGAAGACGAACCCAAACGACTGGAGCGAAGGTTGCAAGCCGAAGTTCAATCAGACCTGCCACCATCCTGAGGAGGTGAAATTCGTGGAGCTTCCGCATACAGATTTCTATGGGTTTGATATTAGAACTAAAACCGAATTCATACCCCTAGAATCTTGCAGGAATCTCTGCATGCAGATTTGCTCTTGTGTGGCCTTCACTTACAGGATATCAGGAGAACAATACTGCTTCTTGAAAAGTGCACTCTATAATGGATACACCTCTCCGGCCTTTCCGGCTACCATATATTTGAAGCTGCCTAAAAATTTAGAAACATCACCAACATCAGACCCCTCCTATTCAGTTTGTGGATCTGGAGAAACCGAAATTTCGGTGGGTTCCTCTGGTATCTTTCATTCAGAAAGCAAGGCAAAATGGGTTTATCTCTATTCATTTGCTTTGTCAATTGGTGCCATAGAAGCCTTCCTTTTTGCTTCTGGTTGGTGCTGTCTTTTCAGGAGAGACAGAGAGCCAACGTCAACCGAGGACGGATACCGTGTGATGTTCAGTCAGTTTAGGAGATTTACTTATTCTGAGCTGAAAAAGGCAACCAAGAAGTTCAGAGAAGAGCTGGGTAGGGGTGGCTCCGGTGCTGTTTACAAGGGAGGCCTAGAGGACAATAGAGTGGTGGCGGTGAAGAAACTAGGGGACGTAATTCAGGTGGAAGAAGAGTTTCGGGCTGAAGTGAGCACATTCGGAAGAATTAACCACATAAACCTAGTCAGAATGTGGGGATTTTGTTCAGAAAGGAATCACAGACTCTTGGTCTATGAGTACGTGGAGAATGGGTCACTGGACAAGCATTTGTTCTCCAATGCCAACAGTAACCAGCTGCTGAATTGGAAGGAAAGATTTGGAATTGCTCTGGGTACAGCCAAGGGTTTGGCTTACCTTCACCATGAGTGTCTCGAGTGGGTCATCCACTGTGATGTGAAGCCAGAGAACATACTCTTGGACAGCAATCTCGTACCCAAGATTGCAGATTTTGGTTTGGCAAAGTTTTCTCCTGAGAGAGGTCGGACTGGTCCAGAGCTTTCTAGGATTCGAGGAACGAAGGGGTATATGGCTCCTGATTGGGCTTTAAACCTCCCAATCACTGCAAAGGTTGATGTTTATAGTTATGGGGTTGTGCTTCTGGAGATTGTACAGGGAATTCGGCTTTCCAATTGGGTAGTGGTAGATGGGGAAGAGATTTCAGAGCTCACAAGATTTCTGAGGATGGTGAAGAAGAAGATGGAGGATGAGGAAGAAGAATGGATTGAGAATATTGTTGATCCCAGATTGAATGGGCAGTTCAACAAGAAGCAAGCAGTCGTTATGATCAAGATAGGCATTTCCTGTGTGGAGGAGGATAGAAGCAAGAGACTAACCATGGATATGGTAGTAGAATCTCTACTAGAATGTGCAGATGACCCAGAATTCAACACAGCAAATGTACCCTAGCAAACATGCCGTGCATATGTTTGCAAAGAATACAAGTATATAGACCAGACGTTGGAGAGTGGGTAGGAAATCTGGGCTCGTATTTACTACTAGGTTCCTCTATTTCACCTGTAATACTTTCACTTCTATAGTGAATTAGTTACATAAATAATCTGTGCAAACTACTGCAGATTCCAGCAATAAGAGAACTAGAAAACTCTTCAGAGCATTTAAAAAACCCATAGCCTTGACTTGTAAGATCAACTACTGGAATGAACTCAATTAGCTATTTACCAAAAAAAAAAAAAAAAACTCAATTAATATCCTGATTTTTTTCAACTGAAGATGTCCGAGTGTGCACATCAAACATACAACAATATATATATATATATAAGTGGAGACTCCATGATTTTGCCTCCTACCTTACTCTCAAACAAAAAATCTTCATTCGGTTTCCATTCTCTTTCCCATGAAGTAGGGATCACATCAATAAGTAAGCTAGACTTCAGACTCAGCCTATTTGCATTCCCCTGCAAATAAAATTCAAACAACAAACAGACGGAGTAGAAATAAAAAAAAAAAAAAAATGGAAATGGAAGTATTGAACTCGAAATGGAATTCTATAGGTTTGATTACCCACATCCACACTGCTTTTTTGGCTTTCCCTTGAATATGAGGATGAATGGGGTCTCAAATCTTTTCTTTTGTTCCTTATTAAAATTTAGCGCTAAAAGGGTATATCAGGACCGATTTTGGGAACCAATTACCCCAGAGGCCTAGAATGAGTAAGAGCAAGCAAACCCAACAAAAAATAGAAAATAGGAACAAAAATAATATAAAAATAGTTCCTTATAAGCTAATAAATATCAATTAATATAAAGAAATTAAGCCCTTTAATAACATTTTAATAATTTAAAATATATAGGATTAGTGATCGTAAAAACTATAAAGACAAAGAAAATAAGGTCCATTTTCTTTGGTAAGATGTAGGGAGGAAGAGCAAGAAGCTAGGTTAGAAAATATCGAAATTTCTGTTTCTCCACAATCAATTGTTCCTTGGCTTGGATGTTGATGATGATGATGTGATCGCCCCTTTAAAAGATAAGGACTTCTCATAGTGTTGTTATGGTTTAGAACAAGTTGCCATGGACTTCCTAGAGCAGATGGATCAGAAGAAAACAAGATTTAAAATATCACAACGCATTATCGTGTATCGCTATATTGGCATTTGAACCCTAGGATTTTGGGAGAAAAGTCATATTCATTAATACCCTTCCTAGAGATGACCTTGTTTAAAACTTGAAACTGCTTTAAACCATGAGTAGAATCGCCCCTTTGAATCGCCATCCTTAAAATTAAAAAGGGGAAACGAAGTGGCCACTATGCATGTGGCATATGGCAATGGCATGATTCATCAGTCTAGAAGAATATAAGACCCACAGAGGTTTTATTTCTGACTCTGAAATTGGCCACTTTAGGAGTATTATTATTTTTAGGGTCCATTTAATTCACGGTCGGAATCAGAATTGGAATCCTCCAGAATCGGAATCAGAATGGTCCATTCCCATAATCTGTTTGGTTCAGACAATAATGGGAATGAGAATTAAAATCAGCAAGAATGGGATTTCATTCCCAAAGGAGGGGCGGGGAATGGTCATTCTCTCAAATGGGGGAATGCCATTCCAGTAGAAACGGGAATGGAATTCCGATTCTACCCAACCAAACAGTTGGAATCGGAATAGCCCATTCCAATTCCGATTCCAGACCCCTATTCCCGCAAACCAAACGGGCCTTAGTGATCTTTGAAATTTCGCCAATTTTTTAGTCCAAAGTCAATAATTCATCATGCTCAATAAGAAATTTGAGTCACTTTTCTATTTGGGTAAAATTTACTTCTTTGTTTTAAGTTTGAACATGTCAAAGTTGGATAGTTCAAAGTCTACAAATAAGCTTGTAATGGTCAAACCACATTATTATCTTAAGGATTTTTAGTTTTTTTCCATTGAGATTTCTCTCTTTTTTCTTCTAGACTAAAGAGCTTATTGTATTAAAAAATAATGATCTTATTTTTCCCCTTTACACTTATCACTACATTTCATAACTCTCTTAATAATTAATATATATATATATGGGGATTCAAGGCTTTAGACAATAGATTTGTGAATTGATTCTCCGATTTAACAAATAGGATTTTTGCAACACCATTTTGAATCTTCTCACAATCAAAATAACAGATCACCTCAATGAGTTGTCCATTTATAAAAAAATAAAAAAAAATAAAAATAAAAAAATAGGTTTGATGAGATGCATAGGAAGTGTAAGCTGATTAAGTGTATTAAGGGAGTGATCATGCCTCTCGAGCAATGGTGGTAAAAAACCAGAGAGGGGGGGTCTTGATTCTTGATTCTCCCTATTTGGGTCTTGGGTCCCCATGTTGGCATGGGCCCCTATTTATAATGTTTTCCCATTATTAGTTCCTACAGAACTTCTAGAATAATTTCGAGAACTTGGTTCCGTGATTGGACAGGGCTAGTTTGATTTGTGTTTGAATTGGATTAAACCAAGTCTCAAGCCTTTTATAAGCCAACCCTCAAAATAATTGTCATTCTCATTCTCATTCTCATTATCATCTCCTGTAATAGATTATTAAGCCACATCAATTTCCTATTGTATGATTCATTATATGATATTCAGTTTCCACATCAGACTTGGGCATGTGCGCAGAGAGAGAGAGAGAGAGAGAGAGAAAGAGAGAGAGAGAGAGAGAGAGAGTATGATCAATGACAATTTCGACAACAAGATCAATAAAATTTCGACCAGTTTCAGATATCCAGCTTATCAACCACAAGAACCGAAAAGGAAAATGACGGTAAAACTACTCTTATTTGCCGTTGCAAAGAAAAGAAAAAGGAAAGTATGGATAACTTGAACCCAATCAAGAATATTAACCAAATGATGCCCTCACCCCGATCAAGAAAACCAATCATAACAAAACTATGATGAACATGAGCAAGGGCTTGAATGTAACCACGCTTTCTATCAAGACTTGATATTTAGTTTGGGACAGGCTATATGTATAAAATTAGCCTTCATGCGGATCTGTAGACTTTTTACACAACACAGTCAAGTACCACCAGCAGCAGAAGCGGCCTCAGCAGCTTTTTTCTCTCGCTGTTTCTCCCTACGCTTCTTGTTTCTCAATGCATTCTTGCTCATTTCTCTAAATTAATGGTATGGAACATATACCAAATAGTTAGTAGTGGAATCTAGTATAAGCTGAAGATCTAAGCTACAAGTTAAAAGTGGATGAACCCAGATAATATATTATACTTACTCTGAAGGACTACCTCCTCCAAACAACTGCAATTTCAAAAACGAAATCATCAAAGCCACAAAAATGAATTAACACATTTCAAATTTTCAAAATTTGAACCAAAAAAAAATTAATAAACAAATTTTCAAATCTAATAATGGACCCAGTCTAAGTAGCAACTTATTTTCTCAACAAAGAGCATCTCAAAAGTGGACACCCACTTTCAAACAAAAGCTTCCTTCCCGGACCATGTGCCCATCCACTCAAAAAAAGTTGTGAGCTTCAAATGGTAGTTACCTCCACTAAAAAGATTAAGAAAACAAAAATAAAAACTCGTTTCAAATAATGTAGGATCCATAAAGTGGGTTATATTTAGAAATAAAATTTGATTTAATCTCTTAAATTAAATAATAAATTTATATATCAAAAAAATATCAGAATACTAACCCAGTACTTAGTACGGGGGTCATTATAGTGAATTCAATAAAGCGATGTATCCAACAACTCTGGTGATTGAAATACAAATGCTCCAAGGCAACCTAAGGGACCATCAATTGCACCACCCCTAGAATTAAGTGCCTTGATATTAATGCCTTGAGACTGATGATCATACAGAAACAGCCTAAATTAAATAATTTCTAATTCATTGGACAAATCTCAAGACAATTACAGAGCAATCAGATGGTCCTCAGGAAAGGCCTAATGAATTATTAGCCTCGGGATGAGGTGAATACAAGATTAATCTCCAGATTTATGATATCTGGTAAAACATCGACAGGCTTTACCAACTGCAGCAGCCTGGAACAGAGGTCTATTTCACTCAAACTACAGTCAGACCAATGAAATAACCAACAAGTGTAACCTAAATGCAGGTTATGTGTACTTTAGCTATAGATTGGACAGCTACAAAAAAGATTTAGTGGCAAGGTAAAAGATCCATGTCTTAAACTAAAACCCAATCCTAACATACCAAGGTTGTTAGATGTGAGTTAGAGAAAGAAATATAATTTCTGCATACCTGTGCCTGAACAGCAGCTGCTTCTTTAGCATGGGGTGGGCGATATGCAGCAGGTTTCTGCACAGGTATGGTGCTGGTGGCTTTCTTTGTGGAAGCTTGGGAAGACTTCGCCCCTTGGCCTGATAATAATTAATATCTCCCATGAATGAATAGCATATAGAGGAAATCCAGAACCAAATTAAACTCAATATGGTAAATGATTGTTAACCTTGTGGTTTGACTTCATCAACCTTTAAGGCATCTACAGATTTTACTAGCTCAGCAACATCACCAAATTTTTCAGGAGCCTCTGGTTTCCACTCTGCCTGTTTGAACAATTGCAGGAACATATTAGAAGGTTAATAACAAGGAATCATTCAAGACTATGAGGAACAATTATTCATAAAACTGACCTGGTACAGCTTGTCATACATCTTCTTGAAGTACAATGATCCATTGTGGTGGAAAATTTTAATCCTTTAAAATGGAAAAGAAAAGCTGTATGATTACCAAAGAATGCAAAAGAAATATGGAAACACAAATGAAAATATAAAATTTGAAGGAGTGCCAAGTCATTCCACTTCTCAAGTCTATTGCAATCTTCACATCAAGCCATAGTTCAATTTTGTTGCATATTAATAAATAACAATAACCAGAAGACAGTTTACTAGTTCCCACGTGGCCACAACCACACACAGGGCCACCTATGGCATCACATGGAATGCTCAACTGGAGTACCAATCTAGGACCAACACATGCATCAAATGGACTTCCAATTAACTCCTGGATGACTTGTAGTCCCAAGAATACACTATTTCCCACTTTTAACTTCATATTCAGGACAAAGAATATAATTGATGAAAAAAGATAGTTGAACAACCAGAATGACAGAGAGCTTGAAAAGAAAATGAATAATGATCAGCTAAATTGGACCTAGCAGTCTGATGAAGGTTTATGCCCTAGAAAATGGTTGCCCACCAACAGAATGATTGTAGTTCTCTATTTATTTGTGCGCAGGGGCATAGTTTGATTTTATAAAAGAGTTGAGTGAGAACCACCACCCAACTGATTCTCTCTTTTCTAATCATTTAGCTACATCATTTTGTTGGTGTCTTAATGCACAAAACCTAATGTTTAATTCCATTAGCATCAAGTAACTTATGAAATGGATGAGAAGTATATTTAGTGGCATTATTAAACTGTAAAAGACATAGTAAAATTGAATTGAATTTTCACTTCCATAAAGAATGATTTTAAAATGGAGAACAATTCAGAAGAACCTTTCATTTTTTTTAGAAGAACCTTTCATTAAATGGCGGCAAAGTCATCAATATTGAGATATTTCCCCTCCTTAAGAGGTGGCAAATGGGTGGATTGGGTCTGTCAGTTGAGTACCAACCCACCCACTAATGACCCACAACCCACCAGTGACCCATATATTTGTTGGTGGGTCACAACCCACCTTGACCCTCACCCACCGATATTGACCTGCTCACCCAAACTAATGTTTTTTTTTTTTTTTTTTTGCATTTCCTATATTTCAAATGCCACACCGGGTTTTAAGAGAAAACAACATTTTTGTCTGCCACGTGAGAGAAACGGGTCAGGTCAGGTCAGGAATAAAGTTATCCATAGAAACCTAGAAGTACTAGCTCCTATAGGTGACAAAATGAGAGAGAGTAAACTAAGATGGTTTGGTCACATGCATAGAAGACCACCAACTGCTCCAATTAGAAGAAGTTATTTGTTACAAGTGGAAGGGGCTAGAAGAGCTAGGGGTAGACCAAAAAGGACATGGGTAGTAGTAAGAAATGATTTAAGCACTAAAAGCTTGTCAGTGGATATGGCTTTAAATAGAATAGGTTGGTGAGATAGGATTCATGTATATAGTTGGGATAAGGTGTGGATGATGGTGATGATTAATTAAAAATAGAAACTTAAATTTTAAAATATATGTTTCAAAAAAACATATTATTTCAAATTAAAATACGTAAACATAACATGTAAAACATATTTAAAATGAAAACTTAAAAGTAAAATCAAACAAAACATAAAAAGCATATTCAAGCAAATAAAACTCCCAATCTCATTATCCTTTTCATAGTTGCATACTTAAACATTATGCATTCATGGTTCTACAAACCGCCTTTGTACCAAGCCCCTCAAAGCAAGCCCAAACAAGTCCATATCAGGGTCTTAAATTCTTAATCCCTATAAAAAAAAGAAAATATTTTATAACTTTAATTGCCTTTTAAAAATATCTTTTATTAGGATGAATGAATAAGCAACATTAACTCAGGAACGCATGACAGTGATGTCATCCTTCAGCTAAAGAAAGAATTATTAGGCATTTAATCTGTTCTAAAGCAGCTTGTACCCTCCACAAATTTTTTGCTATTATCCTTCTTCATATGGTTGCCATTGCACATCTAAAAGGAAATAAAATCTAAATAACAAAGGCATCAACAGTCTATTCAGTTGTTAAACATTAAGAACATAATATCTTGTGATAAAGTGCATATAACACAAGATATTTGAGTTTTAAATATCTAACATCCTTCAACCTGATGTTTGAATATCAAGGAAAATTGCAAAGTTGACCAAGTGATACAAATTCTTTGTTTCAAGTGTGCATGCTTTTGTCCAAAAAGATATACATACGCATTGTCAACTTGAAGTCTGGGAGCTGTTGTTGCAGTCATGAAATAGAGTCCATTTGGGGACCATTCACTTGTTACAGAGCATTCAGCTTTTGTTGTTCCAAGCAACTTTTTCTCCACATAGTCCCAAAATGCCTAAAGGTTTGGCATATACTAATGAGAAACAATAAGATAATGAAAAAAGGAGAAAATAAAAGGAGAATATGAAAAATCAACAAGAAAACACTGTCCTCTGCCAAACATTTTCTTAAAGGAGCATGTTCTGGTCTAATATGCAAAACCAAAAACTGAATGTAAACATCAAAAAGGAAAATGCAACAAAGAAAATTAAGCCCATTCTACTGTAATGGGCAACAGTTGTTTTGGACTTATTGTTGTTTCAGGTTTCTGTATTTTTGGATGACTGAATACCCATTCTACTGTAACTTGTTCACACATTAATAATAATTAACATTTTTTCTTGCTGATCAAAAAAGCAAAGAAAATTAAGCCATTAATTACAAAAAAAAAATAACACTGTTAAAGAAATTCAGAGAAATGGTATCAGAAGAAACTATGTGAAAATAAAAATATACCTATACAAGTTATATATAGTGATTAACTAACCTTTTCTAGAAATGTATTTTAGTTTTCAAGAGTTTAACTTAATCCATAAGTGCTGAAAGAGGGTAAAACCCTTACTCAACGAGGGACCAGGGGCAATCATCATGTAAGGGCAGAACTAATATGCATTCTCACAGACAACACCTGAAGATATAATTTTATTTTTGTATACCTAGCCAGATTTACCCAATGAAAAGGGTATAACCACATGCAAGATGAGTATTTAACTCATTCTTTTCTTACTTCAACGTTTCTCCTTCAGAAAAAAGAAGTGCAAATGAAATAGTGACAGTATTTAATATTCTCTAAAATCTGTCCAGGCTCCTTTAAGGCCCTTAAACACCCAAGAAATTACAAAATTGAATGTTTCCTTTCTTATTCAACTTTTCCTCTTTTTGATTGCAAAGAAGTTGTATTAGTATCATATTTGTATCAAGGTGACACATTGACACCTTGGCTGATATAGGAAAAAGCACTTTAATATCAAATTAATGTAGGACTAACTGCTCCATTACCAACTAATGTAGGATCTGACCCAAAGGTGAATCTACCAACAATATTGATTTCACTAGAATAAGAATTAGGAATGGTTTTATTACCAAACATATACATATGTTGGGGTTGAAAAGGCCATGCATCAAATTGTTGCAAACTGAAAATTCTGCCAGGGATATAAAAAATACACAAAATTTAAAATAAAGAGTTCAAGGTAGAATTTTCAGAGTAACTTGAAGAGGTGTTTAGGATGATAGGCTGTATGTGGTGATTTAATCTATAGGTATTCTGAGGAGGCTGGGGAAATCTCTTTATGAATTTATGATAATAAACACTAAACTTCTAAGAACTGGGGTTTTAGCAGGAATCAATATTTCAAAAAAAAAAAACCAAAATTTTGGGCATTTCGGTCCCATTCTTTCAAACAAGATAAACTGAAATTTCATTATTTTATCCATTAAAAACAATGGTAAAATTATTAAATATTATAAGGTCCACAATACATACCATTAAAACCCATTAAAAACCAAAACTTATTGAATAAAATGTCAGTTATGTCAGAACATTCCAAAATTTTAGAAGTATTTTAACATTTCCTCAAAATTTATCCCAAATACCATGGTTTTCAAAACCGGACCGGACCGGAAAAACCAGGAACCGGTCAGGTGACCGGTCCGTTTTACCCCAGAACCATTATTTCGCCAAAAACCGTTGATTTGGTCAGCAAACTGCTGACCCGGGTGGTCAAACCATTCGAACTGTTTGAAACATCAAACAGTTTTGGCCGTTTTTATTTTTTTATTTTTTTTTGTCAGAACGGACCGTCCGTTTGGTTCGAATAACCGTTCGACCCAGGAACCGGACCCCTGACCAGAGTACGCTGTCCGGTTCGGTTTTAAAAACCTTGCCAGATACTAAAAAGACTTCAGATATTTTGGAGGAGATAATTCTAGGCAAAATATTTGGTTTAGCAAGTCAATGTAGCTTGCCAAAACCAAAATCCATGAAAGTTCAGCAGAATACAAAACCATGGATGGAATTTTGCAACAAAAAAATGGTAATATCAGTGTTGATAAGGACTAGGGATGATCTAAGATGAGGAGGATTTTAAAAGGTTTGGCACCAAATACCAATTTTGTTTGAATACTAGGAAAAAAAATCATTTGCACCATTCATAACATCATTAAAAAATGAGCACTTGTAGAACTCCACCAATGTGAGCTTGTCACACTGCCGGCCCCAAGCCAGATAAAGGAGGGTTGCATCAGATGCGTCAGGTTGACAGCCAGCACGAAAACTTTTGCCAGACCCTCATGAATATGGATCCTTATCGAACAAGACTTTAACAGATGAAGAAAAACGCAGGAAGGTGATGGTTTTTCTGACATATGAGAGGTTAAGTGCGGCAACTGAGGAGGAAATTTATTTGGATGAAACAAACTACATTGACAAGACCTTTGACTTAAACAAAGGGGTTGATAAGGTAGCGGAGGTAGGTAAAGCTCTGGGTTTGCTTGTGTTTTTTTTTATGAATGATAATAAATTTATTAATTCAGAAGCAGATTTAGAGTGAATTCATACAACATCCCAGGGAGAGGAGCGAGCTGCAGCCCCTCCTTGAATCTTACAAGTAAACTAGGAAAGAAAAGCAAGAATCAGAACTGGGTTTTCTTGTGTTGGGAGGTGAATCTTTCACGAGAAAAACGTTAGAAGAATTAGAGGAACAATACGAGATGCCTGTAAGGGAGAATGATGGAAATCTTCAAGCACATCCACCTTTGACTGATGAGAGTCATAATGACTTGAGTACATTTAGACCAGAAGAAGCTGATAATGAAAGAACTACAGCATTGATTGATGCTCAGTTTTTTGAGAAAAACACAGTCCTGGAGCTGGAGGTTAATGAGAACTCTTTTTGCTCGTGGGAATCCAGGAAGATTGTTGCAGCAAATAGAAGACTTGAAAAGCAGAGAAAACATGGAAATTTTTTGATTTCAAAGCCTTTCACTAGACTAAAAGGGGGTCTCCTTGGGATTGGACCAAACAAGAAGTTGTTGAAGATCAAGAAAACTGTAAGAAGACATTAGTATTTTAACAGATCAAAGGTTGTAGCTTGTGAGATAGTTCTGGTTTTGGTTGTTTTCGAGTTTAGATGTATGTTAATGGGGTTCTGATGTGGTTATTGTCTTTGTTGGCTTGAGCTTTGGGTTTTGTCTTTGGGCTGTTTTGGGGATCTTATGCTGTTGTGGGGCTTTTGTTTTTTGACGATTATGTGGGTTCTGGTTTCTGCTGGTCTTTTTGAGGCTAAGCTGGCTTGGACTTGGAGTGCTTGTGTTGAGTCTTGTAGTTCTGTTTTTTCTGTCTTCTCTCTCAAGTGACTTCTGGTCACTCCCCTAGTCACTTGTAGACTGGTCTCAACCTATTCCACTCTAGGGTTAGATTCCATACAAGTCTGACACTCTGACATCATCTAGGGACCATGATGATACCACCCTCAAGGCTGGCAATCAGTTTTCTTTTGTGGTAGAACCTGTTTTATACCAAGTTATGAACCAATTCTGTGGTTTACAAATGAGGAAGAAAAGAGGGAAAAAAAGGAGAAAATAAGAAAATATGTTTCAGAGAAAACTGTAAAGAGACCCATGTCTATCTCTCCCTTCTATTTGTTCATTATTTAAGAAATAGGTAAAATGACATAATTACCCCTGCTACAGTGTAGCATATTTATTATATTTATAGTAAATAGTGACAGCTCTATACCTTTGTTCTTTTTTTTTTTTTTGAGGATAGAACATTTTGAATCATCCTCTAATATGCACAGCCTCTTTTTAGTTATCAAACTTATGTTACTTTCTTAGGAAATAAAAATAAATGAAAAAGCAAACAAAGATATACAATGCTAACATGGTTAGACCTAGAAATTGTTTTAAGAGAACGCAAAATTGCATTTATATTCTAAAAGCTGGATGGTCAGATTATTAAACATTGCAGTCATAAATTACTGAATGGTTAGATTATTAAACAACAAAGAACATTAAAACTGACGTACCATATCCCCAGGTAAGTTACCAAAACCAGCCAAACATAAAACTGTAGGTCAGACAGTTAAGGCTGCATGTATAAACATATATTTGCATTTTCAAGGTTCCTGATATTAATTTAAGCAATTAAGAATAAAATAGAAAGTCTGTGAATGTCTTGCTTAAGGATACACTTCCCTTTTGGGTTCCATCTGATAGTATTGTAAGGCCCTGTTCCAAGTTCAAGTATTGGATTGCACTTCTTATCAAACACTGTTGCTTTTGCAGGCATAACTGAAGTAGGTCAAGGAACATTAAGAGATTAGAAGTAGCACATTTTTAAGGGTCAAAATACCAATCTGATCAATGTTATCCTCACATGCTCCATATTTATCCCATAAAATAACTAAAGGAAGACCTCTAGTATCATTATTTAATCTTTTTTTCTCTCCTTTATGTATCTTTTTCCTATAGCCAACATGGAAATTTTCATTTTCCTTGTAATCAGAGAAAAGGATACATCCATAAACAACAGCAAATTCAGAACCAGAAGAAGACCACTGAACATCATGAACAGGCCCTTCTTTACCTGCCAAACGTATCCAATAGTCAGATCCTCACTTTCAGAGCAAAAATCAACATTCATTTTCACAAATTAACTAGAAAACATACGTAGAGGCACAAGTCCTTCATGTACCCCATCAGTTGTCAGGTAATTCAACTTTGATTCACCATAGTAACTCTGGTTGGTCTTATCAACATCTGATTGTGCTACAACCAGAAGCCCAGTAGAACCATAATTCCAACTCAATTGCACTGTGCAGCACCGGAAGAAACTCCGTCGAGCAATAGGTTGAGCCTGTGCATCCTTTCCACATGCAAATATCTGGACACTAGCAGGAATTCCCTACATAAAGGATGAAAGAAATTGAAGTCAAAAAGGGCTACTTACAATAAAAAGAAACATAAGGTTTCTGGACAGAGCACAGCTTAGTCACATCTGGTTATGCTAGCTCCTTACTGTCAAAATGGTAGGTCAATGTTGGCATCTCTTAATACCCAAAACTTTTAGCCACCTGTCTATAAAACCTTCAGCTTTGATCATCTACTTGTGTAATCTCCTTTGTGCTTTTCTCCTTTATTCTTTTCTTTTCCTCTCCTTTTTTTCAGGGGAAGGGGATATTCAAGCTTGATATTTAAGAAAAAGATAAATAACTGGGACTTGCAGAATTATCTAGCCAAGATTAGCCAGTATTCTAATTACGTAAGTTACTAAGGGCCCACAACATGATTGAACTGTGCTCCACTTCCAAAACAATACCCTTTTTCTTATTTCTTTAAAAACTACAAAACACTCTATAGAATCAATAGGACACCAACCTTAGATTCTGCTACAAATGCTGCAACATGGGATCCAGGTGTTTTAGATAGCTCAACTGCAGCTACACCAGGGATTCTAAGCCGATATATAATTCCTTTTAAAAAATCACCAGCATCAAAAAATTGTATTTCATTTGTTGCCATCCGACAAGCAACAGATTCATCAGAGCTAAACTGGATGGAAGGCCTGAGGAAACCAACAAATCAAATAAGCACCTCAAACACTCAAAAGGAAGTTACAGAGGCATAAAAGGGAAAGAAAAGAAAGGTATTCTCACATACCATGTGGTTTTAGACATGCTCTTCTGGAACTGACTATAAACAGAAGTACCTGTTTCGATCTTCCACAAGATCAAGTTCTTCTCCTGTGGTGTTGAGGATTTCTGAAAGGTCTGGAGATAAGTCCCACATGGAGAAAGGGTAACAGCAAGATCATTGGGTACTTCAAAGGATCTAATCTCTGTAGAGCTGCGGCAATCATAGATACTAATAGAATCAGATTTAGTAACCATGAGTCTTGATCCATCTTCACTGAACTTGGCATTGGTACAGGGAACTTTTTCGATCTTAATACATGGTTGCCCATTGCTAAATGGAGGGCCGGTACAGAGAGAAAACCCTTCTGGCTCTCGGACTACATTTGAGACGGTAATAACAGTAAGAGAATATGAAGGCAAACAGAAAAACAAAAATAAGGAAAAATGATTCAAGAGAAAGGAAGAGTAGGAAGAAATGATGTACAAATACCTAATATCTCCAAAGACCGTGAAGGGTCCATGACTGCCATTACAGACTAGTTTGGAATTCAATAAGATTAAAGAGGCATAGCCAATTACAAGTGGAAAGAGAGTCCAGACCTTATGCAAATAACCAATGCACCAAACTGCAGTCACCGAGGATTTTAGAAATCAAAAGCACTCTTCTTACTTCTTAGTAGTAAATAAATCCCAGCTAGCATTTCTACACATTGTTTAAATGGTTTTGCAACAACTGAGAAAAAAAAAAAACCCAACAAAGCTCCCCAATAATTGAAGCTGAAAATTGATTAAAATTATGAAATAAACAGAAATTACTCAGACTGGATCCCTTCAATTTAGCAAACGATATTGCTGAATTGCTGAACTTGAATGAAAGAGCTGAGCTATTGCAGAGTAGAATTTTTCGCTTCAGTTATATACAAAATTCATTCCAGACTAATAAAAACAAGTAAATTCCTCAAAAAGGAACTACCTGGTTAACCAGAATCGAATTTTCGCTTCTGAATAAGAAATCGCTTGACGAAATAGCTCGGTAAAGCAAAAAACAAAAATTAGTAGTCGTAAGTATGAACAACTCACAAACTTTGAAGAATGGATTCAATCGATTTCTTGCGAGGCCGACCGGAAAATGGCTGCGACTTTGGTTGTTCTGGTCTTTGAACAGCTCACAAACCCTTGCACTTAGCTAAGCTGCGACCTGTGACCAAGCCCAGAGAGAAAAAGGAGATGCATTCTAAATTTTGCGCCGGGTTGGGCCGTTGGGCAAAGACTCCGAGAACCGGGGTTGTCCTGGACCAAAGTCTCCAGTCCAAACTTCCAAAAGAAAGAGTTTTGGGCTTAGATTTGTGGTAACCTTAACCTAGGTCGGGCCCAGCCCAGCCTATCAGTTGTAAGCTGTAACCCTTGTTAGATCTCTTCTGTCCTATATGATATCCATGTGAAATAACAATAAATTAAGAATATGGTCTTTAGCGAGGTATTAAGAATCGGTTTCAATTTTTACCAACCAAATATATAAAAAGAATATCTGCCTTAAACTTAAAACTCCCTACTGAGTTGGATTTTGAGAATTTAACTGTATATAAAAAATGCAAAGTACTTTTCAACCCTATCTTATCCTACCACATTCAAGGGTAGGGTGGATTAAGTTTAGAACTTGCATATAATTTTCTATTATTTCTTATTATATAAAAGAAATAAATAAAATAAAATAACACAAATAGATAACAAAATATCTAACTAATTGATTAAGACATTAAACAACATATAAACTATTAATTATCCTTCACATAAAATTCAAAATATTATTAAATTAAACACTTAATACATAAAATCTATATAATTTCTAATAATATGTGGGTCACAGAGGTTGGGTTTAGTCTAATACCATATCTGTATGAGTTGTAGAATCCCAAAACTTGTTCCCATCACAAAATCAGTCCTTCAAACAAAAAAAAAAAAAAAAAAAAACACCCAATTGTGACCAATAAGAAGGGTAGAAATTGCCATCCCTGCTCTTTTAATTCTTGCCCCCTCCACCCTATTCTCAATGCTTCCCTCTCTCTGCAACTCCTTACCAAAAAAATAAAGAACAAGACTGTTAAAAGAATTATTTACTCGCCACCACTATCACAGAAACCATCATTGTTCTTTATGCTCTTGTTTGATTTTCAAATGCCATCACCATCGAAGTTTTGTCTTAGAGTACTAATTTACGATAATGTTTTGAAACCATACTTTATTGCATCAATCACTATTGCAACAACTCTAAGTATGTGAATTAATTTTATTGCATGTGTTGCATAGATTTGATGTCAAGAAATGTGGGGCTTTTGAAAAAAAAAAAATTGTTGAGAAATCTGCAAGTACAGAGCTATCTAATTCCTATTTCTCTTCTCATAGGAGGATGTAGGGTTGCCACGATATTAATCACATCTAGACGAAAGTTCAAAGACTGGACTAAGATCTAAAACAAAATGGGGAGGATTCAGTATCTGGCCATGAAAACTAATCCGATGAAAACCAAGTTGACTAGTTTAGACATGAAGGAACTCGGAATTGGCAGGAAGAAGATTGCCAATAATGCCATCAAGTTGGGAGGCTTAGAGTTTGGAACTTCCCATTTCGAATGGATTGATTCCTTCACTACAATTTATTCGTTGATTTTGGCCTGATGAGACGAAATAGAAGGACAAACATATTGACTTCACTTTTAGTGCCTTACATTTTCTCCAGTCTTCCTCTGGTATTATCTAACTAGTTCTAGAGTGACTTACAAGATACCTGGATTCTTGAATCTGATTCTTCTTGTGATGGTGTCACCTAGTTTGTTTGCATATATACCTTGAGGAACAACTGGGTTGTGCTATTATGGCGTGAACACACCCATGCATCTGGTGGGTTCAGAAATTTTTTCACATTGTGTCATCTCCTTTTAGTAAGGAGTTGCCAAGTATGCATCTGTGTGAAAAACCAAGTGTTTTTATTTTCTTTTTTTAATATTTTACCACTAAAAATTGAAACCAATACTTAACACCACTGTTAATGCTAGATCTAAAATGCATAAAGAATTCTTCACACCATTATTAATACCAGATCTTGATTCTTGAGTGCATTAAGAATTCACATGCTTACTTCATTTTACATAGATCTAACAAGGGTTACAACTAGTAGGTCCTAAGTAACTTTGAACCTTGCTTTTTTGTATTAGAGGTTTTTCTAAGCTAAAAAGGCAAATATTTCCATATACCAAATAAAATCAGGATAGTAAGACCTAATTATGGTTTAAGGCATACTTGGCAAGTCCATGGACCACCCTATTACAAGAAGGAGATATCTATACTACTATTAAAAGTATGAATAACCTCTAAAATTTTTGGATTTTTTTTACTAAAATGCCCCTTTTTCTTTGAAACATGGTCACTCTATTGTGAGGGTAGAAAATGTATTTTGAATATTATTATTCAACGCATTCATTTTCCTCTCATCAAATCTCACATTTAAGGTGTTAACTCCCATTCACCCTCATTGAATAATATATTTACAGCATTTATTTATTTTTATCACTAAATTATACTAATTAAATTCATACATAATAAATTAACAATTTCAATAACATAAAAATTTATACTTTTAAAATCTAAATGGAAAAAATAGCATTTTCATTTAGGCATTGGTAAGAAATTAATCCACTTTGGGTCAAATCTAACTCATGTTGCTACAATTAAATAATAAAATTCAAAAAATATAGAAATTAAAGAAAATTTTGGGGACATTTTTAACATCATACATTTGACATATTAAACAATAATAAGAGTGTGGAACTTTATTTTTGACTAAACCACCACTATTTTTTAATTTAGTCCATCTTGAATTATGAGGGCTAATAATGTAATATCATTTACAATTTTTCACCTCACTTAATTCCCTCTCGTTAGGTTTAGTTTGGAAAGAGTACAAATGCAAATATGTACAACGTAAATACACACAAAATAATACAAATACAAGGTTTTGCACTCTACATATTTGCATTTGTACTCCTTCCAAACTCAGCCTTAAGTCTTGTATTTAAGATATTAACTCACATTCTTTCACATTAAATCTTGTATTTAATATATTTTTTATTTAATAAATTATAATAATTAGATCGTTACAAATACTTTTTAACAATATGAACCCATGTTTTTAAGGGGTAAAATTCTAAAACATCCCCTAAACTTTTTGACCATTGTTGAAACCTCCCCTAAAGTTTGGTAATTGCAATCACCTCCTCTAAACTTTGTAACATGGTTGCAAGAAGACCGCTTCTGTTATAATCTTCAAACAAGAGGCATGAAAATGTCAAAAAATAAACATATAGTTAATTTGACTAAAATGTTTATTTTCCAAATTTTCCTTTCATATGAATACCTCAAAGTTGCAATTTAAACTTTCTTTAATCTTGTTGTCCATAAAGTTTGTATTGTTTGTTGTGCAAAAACTAACCTCAATAATAACTACATGGGTATTTTGGACTTTTTTGTGCCTCTTGTTAGAGGATTGTAAGAGGGGATCTACTTGTAACTGTATTAGAAAGTTCAAGGGAGGCAATTGCAATTACCAAATTTTAGGGGAGATTTCAACAATGGTCATAAATTTCAGGGGATGTTTTAGCAATTTATCTTTTTTAATTAACAAAAAAAAAACAAAATTATTCTTCCATCCAAGTGGTGGGTAATCCAATTCAACCATGACACCATAATTAATTGGGTGAATCCATGATATCATAATCCAATTCAACCATCCTAGTTAATTGGGTGAATCCAAGATATCATAATTAATAATAAAATATTTAAAATAGTAACAAATTTACAAAACAAAAAATGTAGAAAAAAATGTCATTTCTTTGATATTTTTATATTAATCATATTAAAGAAAAATAAATGTCATAAATAGGAGTTTTTTATTGATAATGGAAATTGATGTAGGGTGATTTGGCCCAACCTAATGGTAGGGGGACACGTGGATGCGACCTAACTAGTAGGACAACAGCTCAGCCTGACACGCCAAGTTCGCAATGGATCGAGCTCGGATAAACAGACCACCTCGGGACAAGTCTACCTCGGGACAAGACTACCTCGGGACGAGTCTACTTCGGTGCAAGGTCACATCAGGACCACCTCGGTCCCAAGGCACTTTGGCATTCATATCAGGTCGGATCTAAAGAGCACAAGCTCAGGCAAGGTTGACCGACCACTGTATGGCAACCCCGAGGATCTCGTCACCATACTCCGCGTCTTACGGGATCATACATTGTAACGGCTAGTATTATCTCCCCACTCCCCGATTCAGGCGGAAATGGGCAACCTTACCGGTTGGTAGCGTTATCCTTAACTAACACAGAAACAGATCCTATTGCAGCGAGAATTCCGGAACTACTCCACCAAACCCGCAAGGACTCCAGTATATAAAGACTCCACCCCCCGAGGGTGAGGGTATGTGTAATCTCTGCTCTCTAGCTCTCTTACAATCTAAGATTATTTTCAGCTCGCAATCAAGTGCTAACTTAAACATCGGAGCGACCTCGCCGGGTAAGTTACCCCGGGTTCTCTGGTTCATGTCTTGCAGATTCATCAAGCCCATCGTTGCTGGAAGCCAAATCACCTCCAGTAGGGAGCGGCCAGATTGCGCTACATCAGAAATGAAATACAAATTTAAAACCAACCAAAAAATGAAATTGATTTCCTATTTGGTCTAGATCAACAGTTTAACTTTAAGGTCAAATGGGTCAATATTTAATGTCATAATTAAATAATAAATATGAAAAATGAAAAAAAAAAGTTTTGCAAAAGAAAAACATTTGGGCACATCTCTAATATTGTATATTCATCTTATAAAATAAAACAAGTGCCATAAATAAGAATTACTTTTACAAACATGAAAATATAAAAAATGTAATTTGAATTTAGTCCCTTTTTAATTGTGAGGGCAAACCATGTAATTTGAACTATTATTTTACACTTCATTCAAATCCCTCTCATTAAGTCATATATTTAAGGTGCTAACGCCCATGTGGTGGAATGGGATGTCGATTCCCATTCTTAGGGGAATAGCCATTCCATATTAAGAAATAAAGAACTCACGAGAAAAAGCCCCCCAAACCCTAGTGTTAATAAAATAAAAAATATTAATAAATTAATAATAAGTTAATAGTAATAAAAAATAATAATATATTAATAATAAAATAATAAAATATTATCAAAATATTAGTAAAATAGTAATAAAAGAATAAAACTATAATAAAATATTAATAAATTAATAATTAAAAACAATACATCAATTATTAATTATAACAACAACAACAACAACAATAATAATACTAATAATAATAATAATAATAATAATAATAAAATATTAGTAAAATATTTATAAAATAATCATAAAATAATGATAAATACTAATAAAATAATAAAAACAAAGTAGTAATAAAAATCTAAAATATTATTTATTAAATAATAAGAATAATTAATTACAAATATATATATATAATTAAAGTAATAATAAAATACTAACATATTGATTGTTCAATATAAAAATTAATAGTAAACACTAAGGTATTAATTATTAAACACTAATAAAATAATAATAACAAAGTACTAATAAAATAATAATTATATAATCATAAAATATTAATAAATTAATAAGAAAATAATAAATAGACTAATACAATTACTTTCGGTCCAGTTTGCGAACCAAACAGACTCTAAATCTAATTTTTTTTTCAAGATTGAACCAAAAAATGAAATTATTCTTTTGCCTATGTGGTAGGTAAGCAATTCAATCATCTGGGTCAAATAGTTTATGCCATTATGTCACAATTAAATAATCAAATTTAAAGAGAGACAAAAAGAAAAAATATACAAAAAATACATAATATTTGCGCGTAAAAGACATTTATGACATCTTTAATATAGAATTATTTTATAGACATAATATTTGAATGTATATTACTATCTTCATCTTCCAAAATTGCTATGTGCAAATTTATTAATATATGAGATAAGCAAGAAGAAGCAAACTTTCTAACTAGCCATTGGTATTCTTGAACAATAGAGTGAGCACGCCATAGGGGATCTAGATTCGAGGAAATTACTTCCAACAGTAGAAAATTATGCTTCTTATTATGTACTATAGCATACATGGTTTTGTTTTGGGTTGGGACCGACTATAGCTGTTCCAAACTCATTATATTGTTATTAATATCTAAAAGCATGTCAGTATCTTGCAATTTTTGCTATGTTTTGTAGGAAAAAAAGAATTTTGGTTAAAAATTCTTCTTTCCTCAACATATAAAAAATTTACTATTTTACCAACATTTTTATGAAGGTTACATTATTAAAATAAAGTTTTAAATTGTTATTAAAGTATAATATGGTCTAATTGGGTTAAACCCGATTATCCCATTTGTTAATCGGTTCCGGTGCTGGGTCTTTGTTATGGTATCCATTAATAATCGTTCAGACTATACACTTCATCCTAAACTAGACCCAACCAATTGACAGCTGTAATTATTAGGACTTTTCTTTCTTGCCATTTTTTTTTGGCATGATAGAGGCCTGATTGCTTTGTTTGAACTAACCCAAGTTATTGTCATTAAAGGCATCATACAACCTCCAAAAAGAAAGAAAATCATTGATGCTGGAAAGATATGGCACTGGAGGAGCTTTGACTAATCAAAGTCTATCCATGAATTTTGATATATACCATCTGATTGGTTAATATCTTTATGATACTGGTTGATTGGTCATAATTTTTTTGGGATATGATATCTTTTGGATATTATAGTCCAACCCCCCAAAAAAGGAGTTTCTATGATGTATATATTGTTTATGAATTTGTGGGCATTGATCTTCATCAAATAATACGCTTCCAACCATTAATCGTGCACACTAAGCTGGGCTACTTATCACGAATGAACATGCTAGTATTTTGTATGCATAAGGTGTTGATCTCATGTGGTTTCTGTGCACATAGAACACTGACATGTTTAGTTGTGATAAAATATAGTCTAGCCTGATGTGTATGGTTTTGCTTCCAGCTATATATATATCCTTGACCTTTTATCACCATGCTAGAGTTGATGTTCACTATTTCATCAACAAAACCCTTTGTTAGAGAGCTTCGACGAAGGGAGACTTTAGTAGAGTTAAATGCCTAAACCTACTCATACTGAAAGCTGTTTCACCTTGCAGAATGAAGTAACAAACCCTCCACATCCTAATATGAAAATAATATGTTGAAATGCTGGTGGAAAATTTTAGATGAATATTAAGGAGCTTGGTTTTACCAGTTCCTATATTATAGATCTCGAGGGATACTCTTGGGGATTGTGGGTGGTTACTGTCGAATGAAGAGAACCATGCTATTGCACGTTTCTATTGGAATTATGAGTTCATGGCTATTCTCTTGTTCAATAAACTTTCATTTCAAAAGTTTGTTATGGGAAAAAAAGAGTTTAATAGAAGGAATGTATTTACATATTTATTTAAAATGAAAATATATGATGCCGGAAATACATGGTATCAAAAGAGTTTTGACCAATCAAAGCCCATACGTGAGAAATTCCATCTGACATGTTTATGATACTTGTTGATTGGTCACAAAATTTTCTAATATCATAGAAGGAAGGTTTAAGTAATTTTGCCTTTGTTCTATCATTTGTTATATATATATATATAATGAATTTATGAAAAAATTATTAAAACACCTATTATTTATATGGTATTTGATGTACATTTTATTTTTTCTAAGAGTAATATATGATACCTGAAAAACATGAAATCATAAGAGTTTTTACCGATCAAATTAAGCATCCCATGAGCTTTGATGAATATAAAACTTGATTAGTCACCTCTTATATGATACAGATTTATTAGTGATAAGTTTTTCCCTGATCATGCCTTTCTTAGTCGAACCTAGTGAGATGAAAAAAGATGGTTAGACCATTAAATTTATTCAATCAAAGTCTCTTATGGGAAAGATCTTCAATAAGGATGGCTTAGAAGGGGTAGCAAGGTGCCACTAAGGATGATTTAATGGAGACTTAGGATGAAATCCCGCCTGCACCTAGTTAGGGAATGGGGATGGGCTACCCCAAATTATGTAGCCCATTATACAGGTGCAGGGCGTACAAGGTTAAAAGCCCGAAAGTATGGACAGTTGGACTTGTCTAACCATATAAAAAGCAGTTCGGATCTCCTACCCACACTACTGTATACATGGGGAGATCTTCTCAATTCACGGCTGAAGTATCATGTGGGTAGTGTTTTAGTGGGTGGGAGACCCAAAAGACCCGGCCCAAGTTAGTGGGTATGCGGTTACACAGTGGATGTGCCTATGAAGCGCTCATGTGTGAGGAGAGATTCCGTTCCTGCTTTCGGGGGAAAATCTGAGCTCAAACCTTGTGTTTTAGCTTTTTCTCTATCCGATTGAAAATATCTTCCCATAAAATCCCGATGCAAGGCTGTAAAGGGGGTGTTCGAACAGGCCTTGCGCCGACTGAAGCCGGTCTAACGTCTCATCTCAGCTCAGGGCTCGGGGGACCTTAACAGTATAATGCATGTTCATGAACATTCTAAAATTGGGTACTATCCGATGGACTAAATATATATACCTACCTCAGGCACTCAACCGTTGGATTGTTTCTAGATTATTAATAATATCCGGGAATCAAGCCTTAACTCATGACTAAAAAAATCCAACCGTACGGTTTTTGACATAAGGAGCCCTTAACAACGGACAAAATAGTGGCGACTCACTACAGACACACCCACCCGATTCTCTCCAATTAAAGAATTCCAGAATATTGGTGGCCACTAATACTGTTGGAGCTTCTCGGCCACAAACGAGGAGACGATTCCACGAAGAAGAGTTCAGCGTGTAGCTTTAGATATGAGAATCCAGAACGTTATCTTCTCCTCCATTCTACACCATTCGCTTCTCTGTCTGTACTCCAGTTCTTGTTTGGTTCCACTTATTCCTTCTTCTTTTATAGTCCTCTTCTCTTCCTGTTAGAATTTTCTTTCTCCATTTGTTTCTTCATTTTGTTAGTTCGTCTTCAGCCCATTTGGGATCTTTGAGTCTCATTCTTTGTTTCTCTTCTTTGATTTTTCTTGACATCGTCTCCACTTTCAGATCAGAAACATATCCTAAAGACCCATTTTTGGGGGTTAGCTTCTGAAATTCATTACCTTTATTTTTCTGATTAAGAATTATGCGTTTTAGACTCCAAATCATCATTTTTTTGTCAATTCAGTTAGATGGGTACCTCCTAAATCTCATCTAGAAGCTTGGAAAAGGTTTGAATAAATAGAAAAAGGAAGGGAAAAAAAGAAAGCAAGTGAAGGAGGATGAAAATCCAGTGCGATGTCTGCGAGAAAGCTCCGGCTACCGTGATTTGTTGCGCCGACGAGGCCGCTTTATGTGCCAAGTGCGATATCGAAGTGCATGCTGCAAACAAGCTCGCCAGCAAGCACCAGAGGCTTCTACTGCAGTGCCTCTCCGACAAACTTCCCCGATGTGATATCTGCCAAGTAAATTGAACCCTACCTCCTCTATCTCTCTGCTTTCTATTTTGCTTTATTAGCTTCCGGAATTTGGCGTTTCTTATCTCATTTGAGTGATTCATCTGTATATTCCTCTGCTTTTGTAGTTTTATGGCTTTAGTATAGATTCTTTGTTTTTTTTTTCACTGATACACCTAATTGCTATATCAATTCCCTTTTCTTCTTTCTTTGTCTCGATATTTGGGTTTGTACATATGTTTGAGTTGCTTGTTGTCGCTGTTATTTTTCTTGTTCTTGTTCTTGATAGAATTGCATTAGGCAGAGGAGTCCCGCACGAACTTTTAGCAGTTCACGAGTAGAAGAGATTCAGTTACAGAAATGGTTGCACATATTACTATTTGCAGCATGCTCCCTTTTCCTCTATACTATATATACAGTTCAGGGTGCTTGTGGCCTCTGTGAATTAGAACTAGAAGGGAAGCAAAGACTATCCTCATGGATCCCAAAATCCTGAGATTTCATAGGGATATTGATGGTGGATTAGTGGTATGTCTGTAATCTAAGTTGTTTGCATCATTTTAGGATTGATAGATTTGAAAAACTAAGTGGTGGGGCAACAATAACAAGGGTGGTTTTCATACATAATTATCAGAAAGAGGGGAATGATTCAATTTGATTTTACTTGGAGAAGCATTAGTGGTTTATCTCTTAACCAGGGTTAGAGTTATAACATAGTCTATTTTTTTCCTACCTTGTTTGTTTAATTTGCAGGAGAAAACAGCTTTTATTTTCTGTGTTGAAGATAGAGCTCTCTTCTGTCAAGATTGTGATGAGTCGATCCACTCTGCAAATAGCCTTTCTGCCAACCACCAAAGATTTCTTGCCACTGGAATCAAAGTGGCTTTGAGATCTGGTTGTAACAAGGACAACAACAAAGGATTTTTGGAGCCACCAAACCAGAAGCCACAACCAGTGGCCATGAAAATACCTTCACCGCAACCTTCAACTTTTGCTTCTCCACCATGGGCAGTTGATGACTTGTTACAGTTTTCAGATTTTGAACCCAGTGATAAGGTAAGGATAATTTGATTTCTTCTTAAGGACTGCTATTGTCATAAGACTTAGATGATTAAAATGGACTGCTATTGTCATAAGCTTCATAGTGCATCATGAAATGGAGAGCTTCATTGTTAAAATTGAATCTCGACATGTGCATTTATACGTACCTGCTTCAATTTCCACCTTCTGGTTTTGTGATGTAAATGACTAGGATGGGCCACATGCATGTAAAAATGTTACACTAGTCCAGCTATGAGCTTAGCGACTTTGCAGATCAGATTACCAGACCTAAATTAGACAGATTTTACAGCTTTGCAATTGGAATGATTTCATTGTGCCCCTTGGAGACCTAGGAGATCTCTTAGCAAGGTTTAGATTGGGTCATTTGATAACAGCCACTGAGTTGCTGAACTAAATGGCGCTTTGCTTTGTCTTTTGGTGGAGAATCAAGGGTATGGTAGTCCACTCATCTTCAGCTTCAGCCATTAAGAAGTTCACAACCTCAAAAGCTTCTTCATTAAAAGACAAAGCAAAAAAGCCTTTTAGCTAGTTCAGCAACTTCAGCTGTTATCAGACGACCCCTAACAGTAATCGCAATCTAGGATGTGGATCATATGGACAAATAAGCCTCACTACCTCCTATGGCTCTTGGTTTTTACTATGAAGCTGCTTTTCATACTTCTGCAGGCTCGTAAGCATAGAAGTATCTCTCTGGCTCATGGTCACTAATATTGAATTTTCACACATTAATATAGTGTTTCTCTGTGTGTGTGTGTTTGTACATATGTATTTAATAAAATTTCCATCCGTCTTTACATGCGCTCGTGCTGCTTACTCTAACATAGAGCCCTTTTCATTTTGATTATCAGTTGCTTTAATTTCATTCTGTCATAAGATATCATTTTTTGCATCCGTTTTCCCTGTCCAGCAGAAAGAGTCTGTTGAGTTTGGAGAACTTGAGTGGTTTACGGATATTGGCCTCTTTGGTGAGCAAGTACCTCAGGAGACACTGGCAGCAGCTGAAGTTCCTCAACTTCCCGTTTTACAACCAAGTAATGCTACCTTATACAGACCCACCAAACCTCACATGCCTCTTAAGAAGCCTAGGATCGAGATATCAGATGATGAGGAGTTCTTCACTGTCCCTGATCTTGGTTAAAGCCGAAAAAAGCATCCACTACATGGCATAGGTGTTTGTAAGTAGCATGATAAAATACACAAGGATACATAGATATATTTATATGAAGATGTTAATGTATCAAAGTAGGTGCTGTAAGGTGATCAGAAAGAGTTGTTCTAGCCGTAATTGCTATTATGTGTCCATTGTAGTTTTTGGTCTAATGGGTCTTGCACTCTTCTTGTCATGCAATCTCCCTCTCTCTCTCTCTCTCTCTCTCTCTCTCTCTGTTCAGCCCAGGTATCCCAAGCTACTGGATCCAAGTAACCTAGCTAAAGATTTAGAGGGTACATCATCTCAGAGTTTACAGCTCCGAACAAAACAAGACAGAATATGTTAAAAAGATCACCAGTATCACTTGGGTTGATCAAGAGAAGTGAATTTATAACATTACATAACAGTTAATGTACATCATAATAAGCATTGAGCTGTAAAAGGCCAGCCTGTAGATGGAGCCCAGTTAGAGTATCCTTGAGATATCTAAGAATGAACTTGACAATATTGAAATTGGCTTTAATAGGTGATTGTAAATGTTGAAAGGCCTGATTAACTAGAAGGCAATATCCAGCCTCCTTAGAGTTACATATTGAAGTGATCCAAAGGCTACGGTACATGGTGACATAACAATAGAGGATTGTTATCATGAGTGACTTTCAATGAGGAAGTTGATAAAGAAACATGTTTGCAACCACTCACGTCTGATTGCAAAAATATCAGTAGAGGTGCACTGAACATGAATGCCCAGAAAATACAACAACGGGCCCAAGTCTTTCATGTTGAAATTATGATGGAGGAGCTCAATGAAATCGGAGATGAGTGATGAGTTGCTATTGATCTCCTGTATCCATGGCCATATTTTAGCAACCCCCCTCCAAATGTCTAGCTATTCGAGCGTAGCTTGGCACAAAAACGTTAGGGGCGAGTTTAGGCTTGAGCTCGATACGAATTGGAAACATGAGCTCGAATTCATCTCAACAAAAATTCGTATGTTCGAGCTGGGCTTGATTCAAGTTTGGCTTGATGGTGAGTTAAGCTTCATATAAAAAATAAAAACTATACATGTAAAAGATTAATACATATAAATTAAAAGTTAAAAATTATTTGTTATTATATATAAAAAGTTAAAAACATTTATATATAATATAAACTTGATTAGGCTTCATAAACTGAGCTGAACCAAACTTTTGACAAGATGAGCTCAAATAGTCTAGGGCAATCAAACAGTCAAGCTGGGACATGGATTGGGAGGAGAAAAATTAAGAGAAGAGTACGAATACACGTGATGCAGAATTCTGAATTCCAGCTACCCCCTACGATTAGCCTTCTCCCCCTTATAAACCACATCCTGCCCGTGAATTTGACATCAATTCACGGTTAGGATGTATTCCCCTGTACTTTGTGGCTATTAAATTCTGAGCTGGGCTACTCAGTATTTTTCCCAAAAATTAAAAGGTTGATATAATGCCTTCTTAGTACGAAAATGACCCAACACATTAGCCCTATGGCTTAGGAATCTACAGGAGGAAGCCTGCAAAAGTGAAGGAAAGCTGTACGAGGGTACAAGGCCAAGGCAAAAATCGAAGGAAAAAGTATGGATACACATGATGCAGAATTCTGAATTCCAGCCACCCCCTACAACTAGCCCTCTCCCCCCCTATAAATCACATCCTGCCCGTGAATTTGACATCAATTCACGGTCGGATGCATTTCCCCTGTACTTTGTGGCTAGTAAATTCTGAGCTGGGCTGATCCATACTTCTCCCAAAACCGAATTGATCTCTGCAACTACCACCTTAGCATCAAACTCCAGGATAATACACTTGGAAGTTGGCCTTAGATGCAACATCAAAACTAGGATTCAACACCAAAGCTTTGGCATCGATTAGTGATTTTGCAACTCCTTGGCACCAACACCTACGCACCATAATTTCACCATTATAATCATGAACAACACAGGTAATAACAACTATACCTGAAGGTTGAGGAACTGTTGTATCACAATTAATTCACTTTGACCACTTCATTCATTCAAACCATCAGGCCAGATTAACATTAATTTCTGCCTGGAACATATCCTAAAGCATGGAAGAAACCTTACCTACTACAGACAATGGCCTCTCTCTTCTGAGCCCTCGAAGGAACCAAAACATCAGAGTCCGAATAGCCATCCATCTAACCTTACTCAGAATGAGACGAGCACATTTCTTATTAATCTGTTTGAACGCATTTTTTACGTCCAGTGTAAATTCGTGATGCAATACACCCCATTCACATATACGGACTTTCCATTCAAAGTTTAAAATTCTAGAAGCTTGTACGCCCGATTGGCACTCTTATAAATAGTGATGGATATAGATATATATACATAATATATAGGTAAGGATGTTAATTGGACAGGATTTGGTCCAATTTGAACCGGTCGAATATAAATTGATTTTAATTTAGATATATTCAATCTAATCCGATCTAATGAACATTTTGGACCATTTCTAAACTGATGTAATTTAATGTCTGGAGCGGTCAATGTCAGTATGTTAAAATTGATTTTAATTTAGATATATTGCAAGACAAAAACTTGTCCATTACAGTCGTATTATTTATATTCTATCAATCTGATCCAATCAAATATAAATCCATTATCAATAACACGTCCAATTCAATCCAATAAATACTTTTGCATCATTCAATCAAATCAATTTTAATTTAGACGGCTCCAACCCAATACCGGTCCATGAACACCCCGCATTTTAACGTTGTCATAGATTCCTTCCGGATCCAGGTCTTTCTGATTATCGGCAATTCAGCGTTCTGCGGACGTCAGAGCGGACACGAGAGAGAGAGAGAGATGAGTCTGCATCTTGCACTAAAACTTCTATTATTTCTTCTTCCTTTGGTTTCGGGGGAACAGCTTAGCTCCAAAGAATGCGAGAATCTAGGGTTTACGGGTCTTGCTCTCTGTTCCGACTGCAACACGTTTGCCGAGTATGTCAAGAACGAAGGTATATATTCCTTTCCTTTCCTTTTGAATTGGTATTCTGGATTATGTGCTTCTGAATTCAGCCATCATTTTTTAATTATTTTAAACAATTCATATATTGGGGCGTTGATCTTGCTTCATTCTGAACGAAATTGCGGTAACTCCTGCTTGATTTTTAGGGCTTCATGGTATAGACTATGAAGTTAGTTCATCGAACAGATCAGGTTATCTTCCATTTAACTTAATTAAAGTTTGTTTAACAAGGTTTAGAGGGTCAGAATATATGGATAAAGAAAACTGTCTTGTTTCTGAGGAGGATACTAGAATGGAAGTTTAAGTGGATTTTTAATTTTTCAGCTTTATTGTACTCTATTTCAGCTTATGTATACCTCGTTTCTTTATTGGAAAAGGTTTGGCAATTGATGTCATCGCTCTTCATTAGGTCCCTTTCATCCCTTCTGTGACTTGTCTCTTCTTCGTGCGATGAACTTGAAGTATGCTCATTGTACATGTACATGTATACATATGCATGTATATGCATTTATGCAAAGACCCAGGGTTGTCGATTTGTGGGGAGTGTTTGCAGTCGGGTTGCTTCCATGAGCTAAAATTTTATCTTAAGAGCATACTACATTCTTACAAGCCTCTCCTTATGTCTAAAGTTTACTGCCTCATCATTCATGTTAAAAAGGCTTCTATAATAAGCTTTTCCATTTTCTTTTTCTATAAGAACTTTTGGAATTCAATAAAGACAAACTGTTGGTGTGTGTCAAATAGATAGTGGTATGTTGAGGTCCTTGATGATGCTAGTAAACAACTTTATGCAATTCTTATATCCTTTGCCATAAACACATGTTGAACCCATGAAAAGACGCACCATGAGACAGAGACGGACATGTCTTTTCAATGGATCCACCTTGTCTATAAGGCACTGAAGAATTCCAAGAGTTATATGAAATTGTCTACTTGCATTTCCCTATTATATTAATTTGTTAAATACTATTCCTATCTGCAAATGTCCCAATGAAAATATGTAGATGTTTTGCACACAATGCTTGATTACTTTTTTGACATTATTGGAATTCATTATTCTTTTTTATTGTTCAACCCATTGGAAAGAGCTTTCAGTCATTATTGCAAATGATTAAGTGAGGTTATGCATTATCTGGATGCCCTAACAGTTAGCTGCAGCTAACCTGATGAATTTAGTTTTGATGAATACAGAAACCTCCTTTTTAATATCTCAATGTCATTCTTAGCACAGCAAGATATACTAGTTCTTTCTTCTCTACTTTTGTCATAGGGTTGAAGAACTTGTTCTTCTTTAATTAATACACCCAAGTTGTTGGATCCTTTCATTTGAGTATGCCAGAGCAGTACTAAATAAGGACATGTGGCTTAGGATATGATATTTTAAAATATTATTTGTAAGGACTAAATAAGCCCTAGTTTGCATCTAAAGAAAAAGGAGAGATGCCCTACTTCATGCTTAGATACTTATCAAAATAGAGATCACAAGGGTTCTTTTGTGGAATAACCAGATGTGGATACTCTTATAAAAAATCCAGATGTGGGAGCTGATTCCTTTACCCAAAAAGCAAGGAACTAGTGGGCTGTAAGTGGGTATACACTATGAATTTCATGGCAGATTGTTCAGTTGAGAGGTTCAAAGCTCATCTTGTAGCAAAAGGGAATGTTCAGACCTGTGATATTGATTACTAGGATGCACTTGCTCTTGTGGCAAAAAATGAACCCTTTTTGTGCTATTCTTTTTTTAGTTGTGTACTATTCTTGGCCTTTACAGCAATGAACTTTAAGAGTGCCTTCTTCAATAGTGATTTGCAAGAGGAGCTGTATATGGAATTTCCACATGGGGTGTGTAGGTGTAGCCTAGATCGTCAAGGAAAAGTGGTGATTGCCAGAAGTAAGATTGGAGAGGAATAGTTTTCAACTTAGGTAAATCTTGGGGGTTGCTGTGGGGAACAAGGCACACTTGTAGTAGTTGGAGAGAGTAGGGTTGATAGGAGCAAGGTTCAAAATTTCAATACGGTATGGCCTGTATTGGATGTATTGTATCTTTTTGTGACCATTATACCTTTAAGGCATTTTAAGAAAGTACTGTTTTTAAAATTAATTACATAAAAGGCTCCAATGAAATTTTGAAAAAAACCAAAAAGAATATAAAGTGTGAGATTCAAAGTACTGATACAACCCTTTTGCCATTAGGGTGTATTGATATTTTGAACCTTGGATGGGAGGACATATCTTAATGAGACAAAGGTATTGATGTTGGAGAAACAAATGGGGTTACCATTACAACATGGAATCATGGATACGACAACAGGGGCATTGATGATGAAGCTCAAGGTGAAGCCAAGTTCTAGGGATGGTTTATGGGTGGAAATGCTATGTCAAAGGATGGATGCAAGAACTTCTTGTTGGTGGTAGATAAGGAAGGCAAAGAGCATCACAGGAAGTTCCTTAAATCCTGCCTGGTTGCATTTATTGGTGGATGAGGTCTAGAAGTGGGTGGTTGGGAAATGGGGTTAGCATTTGGGATTTAGGTGTGCAGGATGCTGGAATTGCTTTTCTTCTAGATGCTCCCATCTAAAGCTGTAGCTCTTTGTATATGGAATACTGAGCCTTGGAGTATTGCTTGGGAGTTGTTGCATCTACTTCTGTGGGAACCAAAGGAGAGCTGTCAGTTGGAGTTATGGAGGCTAGAGTATTTATGGTTAGTGTGTTGGGCCTACCTTTTCATCTATGGAGTGAAGAGGTGGTGGAATGGGTTGGTGACTGAGTGACTCGTTTGTGGGTTATATTGGCACAAATTACTCAAGGAGAGCAAATCAAATAGTTGAAAAACTTGGTATTAGATGGAGAGACTTGCAATATTTGTGGTTAATTGATGTAGGACCAGCTGAGTCTAGTCCTTAGAGAATGTTGAATGGTCTTCTTTGATCAGACTTTTATGGATGTTGATGTCTTTAATGGCTTCTTGAAGGAATAAGAGAGAAAATAGGGAGAGAAAGAAGAGAGAAAATACCTGGAATCACTCACAAGGTACCTAAAATCACTCTAGGGCATGGGAATCACTCACCATAGTTGTTCTGGGCAATTCTGTAAATAGTGAATAGTTTTTGATTGGGCTTTGTTTTGTGCTCACAACTCTCTGTTGTATCTCTATTTTTTAATCTAATGAATCAATTTTATGTTGCTGATCAAATAAATAAATAAATAAATCACTCACCATAGTTACCATAAGCTGAAGAAAACTCAGTAAGCTTCATTGCCTTCGTGTAAAATGTCCATACATATCTATAGACTTTAAACTCATAATAATCCTAGGAGTCAAACTGTTAGACTCATAATAGTCCTAGGAGTCAAACTGTTAGACTCAATAATCCTAGTGGGACTCAAACTAAGCTGTCATATCCTATTTCAATTCAAAGAAGACTGAATAACTCTAATCCTACTTATGCAATGACTCTGAAATAAACAAACTATAAATATACAATCAAACCCTATTATTGGACCCTACAAAACAGTTGTAAAATGGCAAAAATACCCTTGGTGTTCAATTCAGTCCAAATCCCAAGTATCATCACTATGCCATATGAGGACCTGTTTTAAGGCCCTCTTCTTTCTAGAATAAGTCTTCAAGGGTACTCATTGATTCCTATCATCTATCCCTGACTTGAAAGAACTTGACCCTGACGAGTTAAAGGCATGATACCTTTCATAAAGGTTTGGGTTGAGACGATGAAAGTCTTTAGCAGTGATCCGAGAACTCTTAGACATAGGCTTGCCTTTCCACTTACAAAGAATTTCTGATATCTTCCTATAGTAGTAGATATTATTTCCTCATCTAAAGCATCCTTTGAAATGTCATTTGTAGCTGCAATAGTTGGCAAGTTAGGTATACGAGTCTTAAAAGAATCCACATGTCCATGGTAAGGAGTCATGTCCCCAACATTGAGGATAGGACTAATTCCCATGTTATTTGGCAACTCTAGAACATTAGAACTTGTCTTCTTGATGATTTTGTAAGGACTTGCACTCCTTGAGTGGAGCTTCTTGTACACACCTTTAAGAAGACACTCTAGTCGTATACATACCATAACCATGTCTCCCTATTGATAATTTGCCAACCATCAATGAATATCAGCTCTAGCCTTGTATAAATCATTGTTCAATGCAATTTTTTCCTAATCGTCATGTTTCTCTCTTATGTGCCTAGCAAATGCTTTTGCTTCAACGCTAATACATGTATTTGGTGGTAAGGTAACTAAGTAAATTTGTCGCTTAGGCTGAATACTAGTCACTACTTCAAATGGACTTCTTCTTGTGGATCTATTTATTGAGATATTATAAGCAAATTCAGCTATTTTTCATTGGAAATGGTAACTTCATTACTACAAAGTTAAGATACAATTGTCAATCCCTAAAATAGTTGTTGAGACCAAGTAATTTGAATTACAAAGCTGTCCAAAAAAAACTTTCCCTCATTGCCCCTTGTTTGTCTAAGGTATCAGCCAGACCATTAGCTGATCTTCTTATTCACTTGAAGCCTGCATCAATCTCTTGTTATATTGAGAATTTCCCGTATGGGCTATTGATACATCCATGCTCCCAACTTGCCTGATTGCAGCCAGTCCATTAACAATTTAGAGTCTCCTTCTATCTCAACTTGGTGTAACCCCAATTGTTTGGCCATTTTACACCTTGAAGCCAATGATCCAGGTGCGCCTAGGCACATAGGCAAGGCACATTTTAGAGTAGGCGCCTCACCCAAGTCCTAGGCGCAACACTTTCAAAAGAAAGGCGCACACCTGGTGTGCCAAGATGTGCACCTAATGCACCTTGCGCCTTAGCCTAGGCGTGCGCCTTTTGAAAAATTTACACCTTTTTGCTTTTTTTTGAACCTAGCGGCTGCGTCGGGGGCTCCGAGAACCCCTTATTTGTTAATGTTGTTCATTCATTCATGTTAATAAAATATCTTCTTAAAAGGCAATTAAAATT